GTCTCGCAAACTTTACATTTTAGTACTAATATTTGTTTCAAATTTCAATTGCTGTAGTGGTTTATTAGAAAATAGTATTATACAATGTAAAAGTTGTGTGTGTGAAGTGATTTTTGTGATAAATTTCAAGGAGTTTTTATTATCGGAGTATGGATGCTGACTTCCAGCTAATCAAGAATGGTTGTAAGGCTCTGTGGTAAGTGATATTTATTTAAATGGCATGCTCATATATAGTTCAATACACCCAAATTTGCGGAAATATGATTGATTTCAAGCAATGAATGAAACCAATAACACGTATTTATTTCAATTTAATCATGTTTACGCTATTGTTTATAATGTTATTTATAGCTGATAACATTGGCATATTTCGATTACATGTAAATGATTCCTAATTTCTCTAAAAGTTTTCACACTTTTATTAAGTTAGTTTCATACAAATTAGTTTTCTTTTATGAATTTGTTAAGGAATTCGCGATTCAGCCCTTTATTTGATACTTTCTTGCAAATTGGTTTCTCTTTTTGAATTAGTTAATGTTTTAAAACATCTGTACGCCTTTTCTATTCTTTCAGTATTTGTTTATTTCACAATAATATTACTGAGTAGTTAGTAATTAAACAATAGACCCAATATTAGTATTTGTTTCGATTAAATGTTTCCAAATTTATATTAGAACGCATTTGCATGCATGTTTTTCATAACATACGTTTAAAATTAGATTAAATGACTTTGATTACTACTTTGATCATTTAATTAACTTCCGGTAGGGTAGTTATAGTAATGGGCCGAAAATCGAAAATGAAAATTTTTGCATTTCGACGACGTTTTGAAGGTTTCTGAACATTTTAAGGCATACCTCAGAAAACTAATGGATGTGTGGTGTGTGTGTTTTGTATGTCCGCATTTTTTCGTCCACGTTTTCGGGCGCACGGATCAACCGATTTGAATGGTTTAAAAAACATTCGATTTCTATTGATAGGGAGATGTGCTGATTAGTTTTTGGCAAAGGCAGGTCAAGCCGTTACGTAGATGGATGGAGTAAAGAGTGCAGAAAATAGAAATCGAGTTTTTGAGAGAACGGATCATCCAATTTGTATGATCCAAAAAACATTCAGTTCGTAATGACGGGGAAAAGTGGTTATTAGTTTTTGGCAAAGGTAGGCCCAGCGGTTTCGGGATAGAGTTAAATGTTAAAAAAATGGCAGTTTTTGAGAGAACTAAGTGTCTGATTTGAATGATTCAAAGAACTTTCTGCTTGTTTCAACAAAATAATTGCTTTTGCAAAAAAAAAATTTGTTTCTAATTTTTTTTTCAAAAATATTTTTGTAATTTTGGATTAAAAATTGAAAAAATGACTCAGGCTAAGCACAGTCTAAGCGCCACTCTGGTGCAAATATTTACTCCAAGTGCGTTTAGACTGTTTATGTACTGGAGATTTCGCACAGAATTATTTGCATTAGACTGTGACTATTTTTGTGAGCACTTTTTCAATTTTGTGTAAATTAGGCAACTATTTTTTTTTTTAAATTGAATTCGAAATGAAATGACGAACGATTGTTAATGTTCTGGAGATAAATTGATTTATGATTTACATTTGACTTGCTCGGATATAACAAACAGGATAGCAAAAATAATGAAAGTTACAGTATTTGTAATAATATATTTGAAAACGTTTGAAATTTCTCGAATATTTCATTACGGTACGGGAAGTTCCAGTAATTTGCTTTAAGGCACGATGCCATGCACCTCTAGTTACTTTTGTCTGTTAAAGATCTATAAATGCATTCGCAACAATTTGTTTTACAGAACTTCACTTTAAATGCAGAATTATTGGAATGTTACATAATTCCATATCTGTAGATATTTATAGATTCATCCATATTCAATTCAACATTTACAGTCCGTTTGCAATACATCGCACTTTATGCAATGTTTATTCTTTATTAAATGCACGTTAATTATTTGTGTATATTTGTAGTAATTATTGAATTAAATATATGAATGTATATATGATTAATTGATGGAACTTATCATTTGCGAGCAATCAAATCGTTAATTAAAATGTTTCATGTTTCGACGATGATGATTCATGACGAACAAATTTAATTTTGCCTTAAAAATTAACTTATTTATCAATTTTTATATGAAAGTAGTTGAATTTTTAGTATTGTTATAAAAATTAATTTATTGAACAATTTTACGAAACATCTGATCATGCTAAAATACATATCATTAGCAGTGATGTGATTCGATTGATAAATTTGAAAATAAAATCAGTTTTCATGAAATTTACTTTATAAAATGGCTACTATTTTCAATTATGTGACAGTCGATTTACTTTTGCTATTAAAAAACGTGCAGGTAATTTAATTTTAAAAATATTTTATTAAATTAATTTTTATATGCCGACCTAAACAATATGACTTAATAATGAAAATTTCATAATTTAACAATTTCTTTATATCATACTTGACAATTTATTCGTCTTTATCAGCGAATAAAATAGTTAATTACAAATTATAGCCATGAAAATAATCAATTCCTCGAATGTATATTATTATCTACCTGAAATAATTTAAATAATTTTTGATTTCAATTAAGATTTTGCAAGGTTCATAATTTTAATGTTATTTAATGGATTTCAATGATTTTGCATTTTTAATCAGTTCCAACATAGTTTTTAATTACTTGCAATTTATTACCGTAGTCCGAGAAAAACCTCGGGCAATTAAAATGATTTAACAATAAATATTTTGTAATTTAACATATATTTTCTCATCTTACATTTGATCATTGATTTCTAGATTATTATTATTTTCCAATCCGTTTCAATACTTTTTAGACGATTTTTATAACGAAGATGAAACCATTTGTCGTCTAGCTTATTAGGAACCCTGTATATATTTTGTTTTGAAATAAAAATAAAATGTTAACTTCAATAAGCTATTTAGTAAATGAAATCTTTTCTTACCGAAGTAGGTATTTCGTATTCCGCCTCTGAAAGTTGATCGCAAACTAAACTTCCCTGGCAAATGGTTCAGAATCTGAACAAAAGTTTTTTTTTATGGTACTGATCTATTAAATAATGATTTTAAAATTTGTTTATTCTGAATTTCTAATGTCTTTTTTATCTAAAGAAATTTTAGAACTTTTATTTAATAGATCAGTATCATTGAAATCTTCTATTGTAGCAACATACTGAAATTTGAAACATATTAATTCATCGGAAGAAACGCGTTTTAATTTGTTTAATAATAATGTCGATTACTCGATCAAACATATTCACTTTGAACAAACTTTCAATATCCTGAATATAAATTTGCAAATCTTGTCAAAGTAGCGTATTACCTTCTTCTGACGAGTTTTAAAAAATTCATGATTGATAAATCATTTTTCTACTAACTACACTATTTGCGTCTAATTTGAAATTTCCAAATTTATGCCAATATCTTTCTAATTCTTAACAATTTTTTTTTAAATGTTTATAGCATTTGAAAGATTGGTGGCTTTAGATTATAGAACTATAAATGTGGCGTCGATAGTAGTAGAATATTACTGTTTGTTAGGTTTGATTGATTTTTCGAAGGACCAATGATTTGTTGTAAAACACTTTATTTGTAATATTAATTACGTGTTTATTAACTTCCCGAAGGAGAAGTTTATGTTTTCATCAAAAGATCCGATTTGCTAATTTTATGTTTTCTCGACGTTTCAAGCCATTCTGAATCGAATGAGACCAAATTTGGAAAAAGTATGTGTGTGTGTGTGCGCGCGTGTGTGTGAACAAATTTTTTGCCGTAAATCAACGTTTTCTCAAAAACGGCTGGACCGATTTCCAAAATTTAAAAGCCATTTGATGTATCTCGATGACGACTTAAGATTTATGAGTTTTGTGCGACGATCGGCCAGGCCGCTTCTTTGCAAATCGCAGAAAAGTGAAAACTTTTTCGTCCACGTTTAGCCCGCAATTCTGAATCGATTTTGAAAATTCAAAAACCGTTCGTAGGTATTTGTTGGGAATCGTACTGATTAGTTTTTGGTATAGATCGGCCGGGCCGTTTTCTTGTAATAAAGTTTAAAAAAAAAAATTTCGACGATTTTTGTAATTTTTTTTGCGGTACATACCATCGTCTTCTAGATCATACTAAAATATTACGGCCCTACGACTATCGGTTTAACTTTAAAAATTCGTCAAAGTTTGCAAAAATTGGTATCGTTTTTTTCGCATTTAATCGACGTTTGCTTAAGAACGCCTGAACTGATTTTAGAAATTTAAGTCATTCGATGTATCTCAATGAGCACTATAGTTGCTCAGTTTTGTGAGACGATCTGCCAAGCCGTTTCTTTGTAATTTGAAAAAAAGTGTTAAACTTTTCGTCCACATTTAAGCTCATTCTACCGAATCGATTTAAAAAAAAACTGTTCGAAAGATATTAGTTGGTAATGATACTGATTAGTTTTTGGTGAAAATCTACCGAGCCGTTTTCTAAAGTGTAATTTTTGTATTGATTGATTTAATTTTATAATAATTTTTGATTTAGATATTTGATTTGTTTCTATATCAATATATCGGATGCTTCGATTTTGGTGTTACAAATTACAATGGAAAACCAATAACAAAATAATTGTAGTTTGCAAACTTCTTTTTATGCGAAAAAGGCTCATTTTGGATTTCAACAAAACGACGTTTTGAAGCAAGAATGGCATCAGAGAATGTCCTGCACATCTAGTAGTCTTAAATATTTTTAATGTTATTGAAATTGCTCACACGCTTTCTTTATTAGATTCAAATCTAGATAAAATATTCCGTCTTTTTATATTATGTCTAAAATAATTAAAAATTCATAAACGATTCAAAGTGATTAATTAAAGAATATATCAGTATCATAAAGAATCAGTCAGTCTGTTTTTATCCTTCTGCATGAACGGTTGTGTTATTATTTACATAAACTTTTAACATAAATTCTACAGAAAAAGAGTTTCTATATATGTCGATTGAAATAAAAAAAAAAAATTATAATATAATTTTACGTCGCAGTCTGCCGACAGACAGAAGCGCTGCGCCGATTATGCAAAGCTGAGGACAGAGAAGGACAAATGTATTATGCAAATGTGCGATTGTGCTCGAGCACTATTTCGCACTCTATTCCACGTATAAGGATTACTGCGCAGGACAAGGACAAAGATATGTCGCGGGCGCAGGCCACGCCCATCACCTATCACCTAGTTGCTCTCCCCACCACTCGAATCGGCCTGCCATTGCGAGAGGATATCATTTCGTTTTCGACTGCGGCGGTGTACGGTGTACGGTGTACGGCTAGAAGGGTCTCGGCGAAATGGACGTAGCCGACCGGCTTGTTGCGTGAGTTCAACATGGTTACGAATTGAATTCAGTTTAATAGTGCGATAATTTTATACCTATTAATTTCAAGTGTTTGTAATTGTGCCCTTGTCAAGTCTAATTTACATGAAAAATTGGAACTGATGCAGCACCGTTTACAGGAGAAAAGGTCAGTGATACATATTTCTTGTATTAATTTCAAGGTTTTCGAGTTGATTTTGTGGGTACCGATACCGAATTTCCGTAATACGAGATCTTGTAGTTTTATTTTCAGTTTTGATCATTTTGCCTTTTCATTATACAAAATGAATTAATTGCGTGGACGCAGTTACTGCGGCTTCCGAGTACATTTTGATTTATATATCACTAGAATTTTCTGAATCATTTGAAATCATCCATCCATTTACACATTCAAATATTAGTTTAAAGTAGACTGCGTTGCTTAATAGATTTTGCGAGAGAAATGGGGCGGCAATGGGTCAGTGGTTAGGATTTTTTCAATATGCCAAAAATTACGATTTCTTATTAACACAGCTCTTAGATTCTTGAAATTATTTTGCTACTGGTACATATTTGAATCACCAGTTTAGTTTTTTATAAATTTGTACATCGTTTTAACATATAATTAACCCTCCGTCGGTCGGAGTGGTCCGGCCAGACTTTTTTCGGCTTCAATTAAAAAAAAGAACACTTCTAGTAATCTTATCGACTTGAAATTTCTTGACTTTTCCTAAAATTTCATTAGCTGTCGATCAATGAAAAAATCAGGAAGAAAGAAATGTACTTTGAATTTTTTTTCGAAGCGATCGCGGTGGGCGAGATAGAATATCGGAGCGAGTATGCGCCGCGTCGGAGTTTTACGGTTAAACTGTATAAATTTTGATACTTTATCCATAACAATGTGAACAAAGTTTGTACTTATTATTGAAATCTGTATAAAATATCTGATATTTGATGTACATAATAGATGTAATAATCAGTTTTGGAATACAAATGATTTTTTTTATTGATTTTTATTGGATCTCGGAATCACTGGACCTGTCAATATTTGACAAATAATTTATTCAATACAAGTTCTAAAACAGTGTTGTAATATATAATTAATTCAAAATAAATAATTTTTCCCGAAATATTTGTCGACGATGTCGGTAATGATTGAAATGATTAAGAAAACAGTCGTCTTGAATTGATAAGAAGACGTCCTGATTAGTCTTTGGCAAAGACAGGTCCAGCCGTTTTGATGATACGGGGCAAAAAGTGCCAAATATGGCATTTCATTTTTTGAAAGAACTGAGCGGCGTATGATTTCAATGATTTAAAAAATGTAAAGAAGTATTTATATTTATAATGCTTAAAAATGTGAAGCAAGTGTTGGTTAACGCAAACATCAAATGAATTAAATAAAATCGTTATTTGAATAAAGAAGCATGATAAAATTTTATAAATACAGGTATGTTCAATGATTATTGGAAACGCGTATACGATTAAAAGAAATTTATTTTTGTAAATAGAGTTTTATATAATAAAGAGATTAAAATAACGGTATTCATTGTTTATGAAGTTATATAAATTATTACAGAATAAACCTGATGATGGAAAGTATTTATTTCCGAAACGTCGTTATTAAATATCTTAAAGAAAAACAAATTGTTTTTATTATTGGATTTACTGTTTGGAAAAGAAACAATCAATATATTGAAAAAATCCAGGACTTATCTATTGAATATATATATATATATATATATATATATAAACATAAATTTTTTTAATAATTGAAACATAATTGAATTGATATGGCTTTCTTCAAACAATCTGTTGATATTATATTTGAAAGATATCTTCATTGAAATATATCTGGCTATCAACATTTAACTCAGCAGAGGCAGGAGCAGAACTATAAGAAACCAAGTATCAATTAGAAGTGTGGTGGTCACAAACATTTTTAGTAACATATATAATACAGTTATATACGAATACCATAAATATTAGCTACAGTTATATACGAATATAACTTACTTGGTACTTTTATATCTGCAAGCTATAATATATACAAGCAACACAAGTCATCTGTCAATTATATATCTGCTCTGGAGAATTCAACAATGTAACAATACAATATATAAGGCAAATATACTACAAATATTACAAGGGTCTTCGTTTAAATCAAATATCTAATGTTCTAATTAATGAAAATGTGCTACAAATGTCAAGATCTACAACTGAATACTATATCTTATTAATTTTATGTCAATATTAGTAGATGACTCAGGATATTAAAAAGGAAAATGAAATTTTCTATACAAGTATGAATATAAGAATTGTTCCGTTTAATTTTTTTTCATTAGCTTTGATTCTATTCATATGTGCAACTAATTTTTTCATTGTGAAATTTAAAAATATTTGAGAATATGGACAAAGAAGAAACTTTTGGCAGTATTCCGAATGATATGATTAGATTTTATAGTATATCATGTTTGAAAAGCAATTCAATGCAAACACGAGGTGTAGTTTCAGACCTCGAGGAAAGTTAGAACATTTGGAATCCGATGACAAATTTGAATCACTAGAAAAATCAATTTATTTATTTTCACAACATATCTGTTTGTTGCCAATATGGAGATTAGAGACTGTGTACAGTCTAATAATTTTGCTATAAATGCGAAAATTACAAAAGTTATGATGCAACTTAAAGGAATTGAACTATTTTTATCATTTATTTTTTTCAAATTTCATAAATCAATAAATTTTTTACATATGACGAGCTTTTGTGCTTATCGTGCAAGATGTAATTGCTTATTGAAATTAAAAATACATAATGAATTCTTTATTTGCACAATTGAGTAGAGTTTATAATATCAATTTTGAATATTGAACAATCAAATACAAATTGCAATTTCATAACTTCATATTCGTTTGTTTATACATATTTGAAATGACGAACCAAAATTAATTTGTAAATTTATTTTCATTTAATTTAACATTCAATAGTGGTAATAATGTACCTTGTCTGTTTAAATTCATTACATACTTAGCAAATTTGTCACTTTAAAAGTGAATGTGAGTAGCATACATTAATCCTACACGATTATTTTTAAACAGTTGTAAACAGCAACTCGATTTACTTCAAAATGAATATTAAATATGCAATTGATTTATGCTCACAATGCATTTTTACTAAAACATAATTTTTACATATGAACTTTTTGCATTAATATAAATAATGTCAATTATTTCAATAAGATATATTTTGGGAAATCTGTACAAAATTGAACAATGTACAACAATTTCGAAGAGCCAGATTTATATAGATGAAATTGATATTGTTATTGCAATACACTTGAACACATTTTTTAAGTGTTACAAAATGTATCATCTTTATTGAAAGTTAATAGCATTTGATAAATGTGATTAAAGTGAATGAAAAACTAAAAACTGCAAGCCTACATTGAATGACGTGCACGTTGCTTATACATACAAATTTGATGAAATCATACAAGTTTTATAACTGTTTTAATATTTATGAAATTGTATCAAATAATGATATGAATTATTAAATATGAATGCAAACTCAGTCTACTGTTGAATCATATTTGAATTTCAAATCACAAAGTTTTGATAAAAATACAAATGAAAATTCTTTCATTGGCATTAGCAAAGGATTTTACTTTTTACTTGTATATTTTTCATTCATGCTTGATTTTATTTCTAGTGATTTTGATAATATTTAATAAATTAATTTTATTAACTGTTCAAAAAAAAAAGCCAAAATGATCGATAGGCAAAAGACACCATCTATATATTATATGATTTTGCAATTTTGAACTAGCAATTTATTTTTAAATAATTTGTTCTACATTTTATATAATTAACAATTTAATTGAATAATGCCTGAAATTGAACAATTTCAAGCGAATAATATAAAATGTTCTATGTTGTTAGAATGTATGGTACCTCTTATCAATATGCTAACAAACATTCATTTATCTTTATTTTTTGCTCATGAAAATCAAATTTAATTTCACTTGAAATTTTTAATTCATTGATTCTTGAAAAATTGAAAAGTGAGTTCCTAGACAATACTGAGTGAGTTTGCCATTCAATTTGTTAGCTACAGTTATAATTGTAAAGTATATTTAGGTACATTGATTTTATTATATTTCTAGCTGACAACATTCACTATTCTAACCTACAATATTCAAAGTAATATATTTTTATAAGTGAATGGCAAACATTATCCCGTAAAAACTTTATAAGTTAAAAATTCAATGTTGTAAATATTTCAAACAAATTAAGAAAATACAACATTGAAAATTATTTTAGGTTTATATTAATTTGACAGTTTTCAATTTCTAGATTGAAGGAAATTGCAATCCACTGATATTTTTAAATAGATGACATTTACTCACATGTCTTACAGTTGATTTTTCTGCTAATACACACTAGAAGCAACATCATGATTTGAACAAATCGTCGTTTGCATTTTGAATAATACATAAAAACTGTTTGGGAAATCTTTGAGATCGACATTGAAATGCTTGTTGTGGCAAATGATTCATAACAAAAATTCATTTAACTTGGAAATTCACAAGTGCCGGCGCTGCCGCGCTTAACGATGTGGCATTATGGACTTGCCGACATACATATTGTGGAATATGTGCATTCTTGAAGGAAATAACAAGGATGCTCTGCAATTCTGCAAATGAATTTATTTTATTTCAGATATAATCCTCACTCGAATAATACAATATACCTTTAGTGCATTTGGTCCAAATGGATTGGCTTGAATAACTAAACACGTCAAGACGAGAACTGTTGGAAGAAAACCAGGCAAATCAGAGGATGTATGATGACAAATCCTAGAATTACTAGTAAATGGCTACCTAATCAAAGACTTTGAATCAAATATAGGTAAGTAACTGTTAAACTGCTTGATAATATTTAAAAATTTTATCAGTGATGAATTTATATTACAAATTTAATTTACTCGAGTATTGCAGTCAAATAATATAAATGATTGAAAGAGTTTGTCGGTAATTGTTTATATAATATAAATTTGAATAATTAATGTAATAATTTTTTTTACAGAGAATACCGGCAATGCAAAACAAGGAATATTAGAAAAACATCATCAGCTATGAAATATGCTGCAGCTGGCTGCTACTGCAATTCTTGGTGAACTCTCAAAATAAATGGAAGGCTCTCGTGCTTCTTGATAGGTACAACAGTTAAATTCAATATTTTATTCAAAATAAAACAGTTTATATTTTTTTATTATTATTATTATGAAGTTCTTAAATTCAATTTTCTTTTACAGTGAAGGTTTCGAAATAGACAATGGAATTTAGTAAAGATGGAAAGTGTTTGAACATCATCGTGCTCTGCCAAGGGCCTAATCAGGTTAGTAATTATAAAATAGTTATAATTACACACACGAGTATAAAAATTGACAATAAATTATAAGAAAAGAAAATACGAGTAATTTTTCATATTAATGAAAAATATTTTTAAATAAAATATTGTTAATATTTAGTGTCTAAATGTAACTGTATACATACAATTATTATTACAATTAAATCAAAAAATGTTTATTTCTACATTGATTTCAAAGATTTTATTTCAAACTTAAATTTATTTATTAAGTCACTGAAATGATTGGTTTTTAATATAATCATTAGAAAATGTAAAATTAATGAACAATTAATTTATTTCAGGGAAGACAAATGAATTCGGAAGTGACATTGTCTACGGCAGAGCTTTAGAAGCAACATTATCTCTGCATGGCAGCAATAGTGACCATAAGGTGTGTGATGAAATAATTTACAATTAATACTATTGAAATATTTTAGTATTTGGAAAGTAAAATATAGAATTTTTTTATTATAATTTGGCATTGCATATCATAAATGAATGGAAATTGTTCAGCAACTACTAAATTTTGAATATTTGAGATTTGAATGAATGATCAATCGTAAATTTTGTAATCCTTGATGAAACAATGTTTTTGCTACTAAGTATTATTTAATCTAAATATGAACTATTGAATTAAACGCAATTTATTTTATTTTTCAGTCCTTTGCGATCACTATGCAAAGGCCAAGTGTATCAGGACTTAATCGGGGATCTGTTTATTAAACTCTTTGCTGCCTGCAGCCTTTGTGTTGTCAGTGAGGATAAAAGGTAATTAATAAAATGAAATAATTGAAATATACATACAAGAGATTTATTTTTTAAATGCTTGAATATTACTCTCAATTAAGTTTTAAGATATTTAATTTAATGCAATAATTAAAAAATGTGAAAGAATTTGAATGCTTTTACAAAAATTTTGAGTCAATAATACTTTTTTTTATTTGTTCAAGAAATTACGATTAAATAATGTTAAATTCATAAAGAGATTTTTCATATGGTAATAAAATATACAAGTATAAAAATCTATAAACAAATTCGGCAAAGTAATACAAATTAATTGAAAGAGATCATTGTATTTAAAGTATGAAGTAAGATGTGACATTATGGACTTGCCGACATACATATTGTGGAATATGTGCATTCTTGAAGGAAATAACAAGGATGCTCTGCAATTCCTACAGTGAATGAAACAATATGGACTTGCCGATATACATATTGTGGAACATGTGCATTTTTGAAAGAAATAACAAGGGTGATGCTCTACAAATCGTACAGTGAATCAAACAATGTGGACTTGTCGACATGCATATTGGGAAATATGTGCATTCCTGAAGAAAATAACGTGACAAGCAATCGTGGGCCCTAACTGAAGAGAACCATTTCAAAGAAAGGAACCAATGTATTCTTACCGTAGGATTTCAAAGAGGCTGCTGCTTTTATTAAATTAGGTATTTTTAGCTCGAATATTTAAAATAATTCATGTACTCTACTCTTTAAATAACAATAGTTTAATGAATTTATTTTATTTCAGAAATAATGGATTGGCTTGAATAACTAAACACGTCAAGACAAGAACTATTGGAAGAAAACCAGGCAAACCAGAGGATGTATGATGACAAATCCTAGAATTACTAGTAAATGGCTACCTAATCAAAGACTTTGAATCAAATATAGGTAAGTAACTGTTAAACTGCTTGATAATATTTAAAAATTTTATCAGTTATGAATTTATATTACAAATTTAATTTACTCGAGTATTGCAGTCAAATAATACAAATGATTTAAAAAAATTGTCGGTAATTTTTTATATAAATTTGAATAATTAATGTAATATTTTTTTTTACAGAGAATACCGGCAATGCAAAACAAAGAATATTAGAAAAACATCATCAGCTATGAAATATGCTGCAGCTGGCTGCTACTGCAATTCTTGGTGAACTCTCAAAATAAATGGAAGGCTCTCGTGCTTCTTGATAGGTACAACAGTTAAATTCAATATTTTATTCAAAATAAAACAGTTTATATTTTTTTTATTATTATTATTATGAAGTTCTTAAATCCAATTTTCTTTTACAGTGAAGGTTTCGAAATAGATAATGGATGGAAGAGACAAACCATATGAGTAGTACTACATATATGATACAAAATTTAATGCAATTTATTTTATATTCCAGTTGGAAGTGATGACAATACAGCCATAGACTTTACTGTTATGGTTTAATAGCACAATTGCGATGATGCAAATTCCTTGCAGTGAGTAATGCCTTCCAGATACAGTTCATCCTGTGCCTCTTTTTTAACCACTGGAAAAGGTATTTCATGGAATATAATATTTCAAATGTACTATTAAATAAGTTTGGTTGTCTGTTAAAAAGTTTTGAGCAAGCACTGTTTATTTTTTAATTTAAATAAATGCCTATTATTGTTTAATCAATGAATATTCTCACAGATAAAATTTGATAAATTATTGATTCGAATAATTAAAAATGGTAATATGTATTTGAATGTGGATAATCCATTTGAATTACTGGTTTAAATAATTGCTAAAAGTTATATTAATTTGACTGTAGATGACACTGTGAATTACCGGTTTGAAGAAATGTTAATAGTAGTCAAATCTATCGGTACATAGATGGCGCTGGGAAATTATCGGTTTGAATAAAAGCTAAAAGTTGCAATTTTTGAATGTAGATAACGCCTCTGAAATTGCGGGTTCGAATAATTGTTAAGAGTTGTAATTATTTGAGTGTAGATGGCGCCTGCGCTTTCCTGGTTTGAATAATTGCTAAAAGTTGTAATAACCTGAAACTAGATGGCGTCTGTAAATTCCCGGTTCGAATAATTGTTAAAAATTTGTAATTATTTGAATGTAGATGGCGCCTGTGATTTACAGGTTCGAATAATTGCTAAAAGTTACAATTGTGAAGCTGTCTACTAAATTCCTAGAGCCATCTGTGAACGGATATGACTTATTGATGCTGAAAGCAAGGCCCCCTACATTTCTAGAAGGCCTTGCCACAAATATATATATTAGTGGGTTCCCGATCAAGGCAAGTTTTACTATAGAAATATTTTGATCAATAATTGTGTTTTTATTTTTTTTTCGCCCTGACCGGGACTTGAACCCGACACAGGTTTCTTTTGTCGAATCCAAGAGCTGAGCTGCTACCCACTGAGCTAATCTCAACCGAAACAAAATATATAATATATTAGTAGGTGAACCTGGTCTGGGACCCTCGTTGCGGAAGAGTTTTACGCTGGAAAGTGATGGTGTCTATGGGTGATATATATATATATATATATATATATATATATATATATATATATATATATATATATATATATATATACATATAGCATACATATAGCATACATTATACCTGCTACATATTACACTGCTGCTTTATATGACATCTGGCAATGATATATATGAGCTTTCTTGCAATACTTAGGTATATTTCGCCTATCATTGCATATACTTTATGTTATTCACGCCTTTAAAAATTGCGTTTTTAAATAATATGTATGCAACTATGCCTTCTTTAGCTTGCATTAATAGTTATAATTGTAATATGCAACAAAAAATTCTTCTACTTATCTTTGGCATTTCGTACTTAAATCCCGTAGCACATCTACGACAATTTGCAATACATTATGCATTACTTCGTAAACCCTCCGGCACATTTACGAAATTTTCAATCGTTTTATACTTTCAAAGGTTGTCAACATCTGTCTTTGTCGAATGATTTTTTTCTAAGTTTTTTGTCAGTCAAAAGCTCGTCTGTCAGACATCTGTCTTTGTCGAATGATTTTTTTCTAAGTTTTTTGTCAGTCAAAAGCTCGTCTGTCAGACATCTGTCTTTGTCGAATGATTTTTTTCTAAGTTTTTTGTCAGTCAAAAGCTCGTCTGTCAGACATCTGTCTTTGTCGAATGATTTTTTTCTAAGTTTTTTGTCAGTCAAAAGCTCGTCTGTCAGACATCTGTCTTTGTCGAATGATTTTTTTCTAAGTTTTTTGTCAGTCAAAAGCTCGTCTGTCAGACATCTGTCTTTGTCGAATGATTTTTTTCTAAGTTTTTTGTCAGTCAAAAGCTCGTCTGTCAGACATCTGTCTTTGTCGAATGATTTTTTTCTAAGTTTTTTGTCAGTCAAAAGCTCGTCTGTCAGACATCTGTCTTTGTCGAATGATTTTTTTCTAAGTTTTTTGTCAGTCAAAAGCTCGTCTGTCAGACATCTGTCTTTGTCGAATGATTTTTTTCTAAGTTTTTTGTCAGTCAAAAGCTCGTCTGTCAGACATCTGTCTTTGTCGAATGATTTTTTTCTAAGTTTTTTGTCAGTCAAAAGCTCGTCTGTCAGACATCTGTCTTTGTCGAATGATTTTTTTCTAAGTTTTTTGTCAGTCAAAAGCTCGTCTGTCAGACATCTGTCTTTGTCGAATGATTTTTTTCTAAGTTTTTTGTCAGTCAAAAGCTCGTCTGTCAGACATCTGTCTTTGTCGAATGATTTTTTTCTAAGTTTTTTGTCAGTCAAAAGCTCGTCTGTCAGACATCTGTCTTTGTCGAATGATTTTTTTCTAAGTTTTTTGTCAGTCAAAAGCTCGTCTGTCAGACATCTGTCTTTGTCGAATGATTTTTTTCTAAGTTTTTTGTCAGTCAAAAGCTCGTCTGTCAGACATCTGTCTTTGTCGAATGATTTTTTTCTAAGTTTTTTGTCAGTCAAAAGCTCGTCTGTCAGACATCTGTCTTTGTCGAATGATTTTTTTCTAAGTTTTTTGTCAGTCAAAAGCTCGTCTGTCAGACATCTGTCTTTGTCGAATGATTTTTTTCTAAGTTTTTTGTCAGTCAAAAGCTCGTCTGTCAGACATCTGTCTTTGTCGAATGATTTTTTTCTAAGTTTTTTGTCAGTCAAAAGCTCGTCTGTCAGACATCTGTCTTTGTCGAATGATTTTTTTCTAAGTTTTTTGTCAGTCAAAAGCTCGTCTGTCAGACATCTGTCTTTGTCGAATGATTTTTTTCTAAGTTTTTTGTCAGTCAAAAGCTCGTCTGTCAGACATCTGTCTTTGTCGAATGATTTTTTTCTAAGTTTTTTGTCAGTCAAAAGCTCGTCTGTCAGACATCTGTCTTTGTCGAATGATTTTTTTCTAAGTTTTTTGTCAGTCAAAAGCTCGTCTGTCAGACATCTGTCTTTGTCGAATGATTTTTTTCTAAGTTTTTTGTCAGTCAAAAGCTCGTCTGTCAGACATCTGTCTTTGTCGAATGATTTTTTTCTAAGTTTTTTGTCAGTCAAAAGCTCGTCTGTCAGACATCTGTCTTTGTCGAATGATTTTTTTCTAAGTTTTTTGTCAGTCAAAAGCTCGTCTGTCAGACATCTGTCTTTGTCGAATGATTTTTTTCTAAGTTTTTTGTCAGTCAAAAGCTCGTCTGTCAGACATCTGTCTTTGTCGAATGATTTTTTTCTAAGTTTTTTGTCAGTCAAAAGCTCGTCTGTCAGACATCTGTCTTTGTCGAATGATTTTTTTCTAAGTTTTTTGTCAGTCAAAAGCTCGTCTGTCAGACATCTGTCTTTGTCGAATGATTTTTTTCTAAGTTTTTTGTCAGTCAAAAGCTCGTCTGTCAGACATCTGTCTTTGTCGAATGATTTTTTTCTAAGTTTTTTGTCAGTCAAAAGCTCGTCTGTCAGACATCTGTCTTTGTCGAATGATTTTTTTCTAAGTTTTTTGTCAGTCAAAAGCTCGTCTGTCAGACATCTGTCTTTGTCGAATGATTTTTTTCTAAGTTTTTTGTCAGTCAAAAGCTCGTCTGTCAGACATCTGTCTTTGTCGAATGATTTTTTTCTAAGTTTTTTGTCAGTCAAAAGCTCGTCTGTCAGACATCTGTCTTTGTCGAATGATTTTTTTCTAAGTTTTTTGTCAGTCAAAAGCTCGTCTGTCAGACATCTGTCTTTGTCGAATGATTTTTTTCTAAGTTTTTTGTCAGTCAAAAGCTCGTCTGTCAGACATCTGTCTTTGTCGAATGATTTTTTTCTAAGTTTTTTGTCAGTCAAAAGCTCGTCTGTCAGACATCTGTCTTTGTCGAATGATTTTTTTCTAAGTTTTTTGTCAGTCAAAAGCTCGTCTGTCAGACATCTGTCTTTGTCGAATGATTTTTTTCTAAGTTTTTTGTCAGTCAAAAGCTCGTCTGTCAGACATCTGTCTTTGTCGAATGATTTTTTTCTAAGTTTTTTGTCAGTCAAAAGCTCGTCTGTCAGACATCTGTCTTTGTCGAATGATTTTTTTCTAAGTTTTTTGTCAGTCAAAAGCTCGTCTGTCAGACATCTGTCTTTGTCGAATGATTTTTTTCTAAGTTTTTTGTCAGTCAAAAGCTCGTCTGTCAGACATCTGTCTTTGTCGAATGATTTTTTTCTAAGTTTTTTGTCAGTCAAAAGCTCGTCTGTCAGACATCTGTCTTTGTCGAATGATTTTTTTCTAAGTTTTTTGTCAGTCAAAAGCTCGTCTGTCAGACATCTGTCTTTGTCGAATGATTTTTTTCTAAGTTTTTTGTCAGTCAAAAGCTCGTCTGTCAGACATCTGTCTTTGTCGAATGATTTTTTTCTAAGTTTTTTGTCAGTCAAAAGCTCGTCTGTCAGACATCTGTCTTTGTCGAATGATTTTTTTCTAAGTTTTTTGTCAGTCAAAAGCTCGTCTGTCAGACATCTGTCTTTGTCGAATGATTTTTTTCTAAGTTTTTTGTCAGTCAAAAGCTCGTCTGTCAGACATCTGTCTTTGTCGAATGATTTTTTTCTAAGTTTTTTGTCAGTCAAAAGCTCGTCTGTCAGACATCTGTCTTTGTCGAATGATTTTTTTCTAAGTTTTTTGTCAGTCAAAAGCTCGTCTGTCAGACATCTGTCTTTGTCGAATGATTTTTTTCTAAGTTTTTTGTCAGTCAAAAGCTCGTCTGTCAGACATCTGTCTTTGTCGAATGATTTTTTTCTAAGTTTTTTGTCAGTCAAAAGCTCGTCTGTCAGACATCTGTCTTTGTCGAATGATTTTTTTCTAAGTTTTTTGTCAGTCAAAAGCTCGTCTGTCAGACATCTGTCTTTGTCGAATGATTTTTTTCTAAGTTTTTTGTCAGTCAAAAGCTCGTCTGTCAGACATCTGTCTTTGTCGAATGATTTTTTTCTAAGTTTTTTGTCAGTCAAAAGCTCGTCTGTCAGACATCTGTCTTTGTCGAATGATTTTTTTCTAAGTTTTTTGTCAGTCAAAAGCTCGTCTGTCAGACATCTGTCTTTGTCGAATGATTTTTTTCTAAGTTTTTTGTCAGTCAAAAGCTCGTCTGTCAGACATCTGTCTTTGTCGAATGATTTTTTTCTAAGTTTTTTGTCAGTCAAAAGCTCGTCT